CATAAAACGAAGTAAATGAGCTTTTGAATTTTTACGATTATAGGAAACTTAAACGGTTGATAATTTCTCAATAAAATTTTAACAACATGATGATAGGTTGATAATAAAATTTTAAAATCTCGATTTTAATGTGGGAAAAATACTTAAATTTTTCCACATATTTTAGCATTTATCTTGTTAAAATACCATTTAAAAGAGAGAAATTGAAAACAGACGTCGTGACAGACCTTTCAATTATTTTTAGAAAACAAACGCTCACTTTAAAATTACGACCTTTCTGCAGCAACGTAGTCAAATAAAAGCTCACTTTATCATTTCAAGAGTTCTTTTTTTTTTCCTTTTTTGAAACAGCTGACATGCTAAAAACTGCAGCACACTCGCATTTTCAATCGGGTCACGCAACACTCATGAGAACAAGTCCTCACGAGTTCAAGTTTTGAAGTACAACGTGTCCCATTTAAAACGACCCCCGATGAGTTAAACATTAAGAAAACTAAAGCGACGAAACATTTCTGATTTTCAAAACAGGATAATTTATGAACCAAAGAGGATAATAGAAGAGAAATTTTCCAATTCGCTACTATATATAAGACATTAATCATTTTTTGTATCTATCAATAGTGAATTATGATAAAAGATGTTCTAAAGAGACGTCTTTTAAAGAAGATTCGCATCATTCTAAAAATACCTATTTTAAAGAAAAATTCACTTTGAAAAACTATTAATGTCGGATAAAAATATCTTTTAACATTTATTAAAATGGGTTTAATGGCTCGTTCTTCCTATTATAACACCAAAAATGTTGTCGATGATTCCAAAAAGTCTGGCACTTACACAAGAATAAAGTTATTGTTTCTCGTCAGAAGGCACTTAGTGATGAGAATATTTCTGCACCAACGATTCGAATTATTTTGCAGAAAATTTTATATATAGTTTTTAATTCTTTTTTTTTTAAAAAAAGTCAAATAAATAAATAAAGAAGTGCAATTTAGACTTTTGTGAGTGGATTTACTTCGTTTAAGAGTATCATTTTTATAATTATTTCGGTTGCATTTCGAAGTTAAGTTTCGATTATTTTTGATGGTTTTTCCCAAGAGAAACAAGAATAATTGGATAAAAGCTTTCGGTTTAATAATTACGTTCATATTAAAATACATTTTATGAGTCTATACGGTTTATTTATCGAATGACATTAATTGTTATTCCCGCGACACTCGTTTAATAGAAAAAAAAATTACTCGTTGGATTTCATTTATTAAGATGAAATTACTTTAATTTCTCATTATCCTAACTGAATTAATATCAATTTTGCGTATTAGGAAAAATATCCGATAGAGAGAGATTAAATGATGTTAGACGTAGAGAATAATTTCCGTTAGATTGATGCAACTAATCAATTAATGTCTTGATAAATCACGAAGGAAGAACTCGGTAGAACAGAAAGCTATCTTTGTTGATGATAATTCTGTTGAGAGTTATCATCAATTACCGATGATGATGAGAATTACCACTGATGATAACTCTTAGTATTAATTAACGATGATTCTAGATATAAACTGATGATGATTGCAATATAAACTGCCGATAGTTCTCGTTACAAATTGATGGTTCTTAATATAAATTGATAATAACTCTCAATATAAATTAACGATGGCTCTCAACTATAAATTAACAATAACTTTCAATGCAAGTCAATGATAACTCAATACTAAACGATGATGGTTGTAAATATAAATGGCTAAATTTCGATTGAAAAACTGATGAATATTGTCAATAGGAATGGCGACTATTCTCTTATACATTGATGGAAACTGTAGTAGAAACAGAGTTATCATCATTGGTCGAGAAGCGAATATAAACTCGGCTTATTCTAAATGGAGTCAATGCTGTTGAGATGGCTGTCACGTCATTTATTGACGACTTTCTTCGAGACTAAGTCGAAGATAGATCGTCGGTCATCCTACCCGAGTGATTTCTCATTGCTTCGTCAGCGGGGAGCGCAGAGATTGAACTAAGAGGCCGTGAATAAATATTTCTGGGAAAGAGTGTGCCGACCATCTGCCAGTATCGCGTCGTGTCACTTTTCTGCATGATTGTTCCTCGCTGCCATGACAACCACCACCATCGTCATCCCGTGTTTAACTTAGAGAGGGGAGGAGAATAAAGACAAGCGAAAGAGCAATATTTTCACTCGCAAATGGGTCGAAAATAAGTTTTGATGGTTTAGCTAAGGGGTGGCCATTAAAAAGCTGTTGATCCGTAGTGACGAAGACTTAATGGATGTGTACTTTAGTCCCGTTGCTTTGATTTTGTTAGCAATGGCCTATAGCCTTTCACATTAGCGTAATCTTCTCGAAAACTGTAGTTAATTCAATTTCTATAGGAAAATAAAAAAATGAGAAAGGGGGAAAAAGAAAAACAAAGACGCTTGAAGCAAGTCTGCTACGTAAAATTCGCAAATACAGATTTCCAGTTCGAACCATCGAGTCAATATTTCCGTCAAGTATCGGCTAACACTATATTATTATCATTATTATTCTAAATTTCCAGTTAAAAATATTGATATTTTTTTTTATTGAAGTTATCGATGCGGATTAAGTTACGATTCCACGTTGAATAAACAAATTACATGAAAAATATTGCATTAATTTAAGTAAGAAAAATATTAATCGATGAGTAAATAACCCGTAAATTGAAGTTGCATTTAGTTTCCTCCCGTGTATAAACGATCGGTGTTTGTTGACGGAGTTTCGTGTGAAAGCATCACTTTGTCAGGCAATTGCAGGAAGGAAGCGTTATCTGGATGAGAAAACATGCAGATAGGCCGAGTGTCAATCCATCACCATTACTCTTGACGGTTTTTAGGTGTGAGCTATCCATCCAGGGAATGGCTGGTATCAAAAATAGCACGTGCACGCCGTTCATTACTCTATCTCTTCGATATTTACACAGCCCAACTCTATTCTCTCGCTTTATCTTTCTCTAGTTCATCTCTAAATGCTGTCATTCTGTTCCATCCTCTTCATTGAACACAACTGAAACCAGTGTTATCTGAAGACATAGATCATAACGCTGATTGACTAGGGTTCGGATCCTCGCGCGATTCGAACTTCTAATCAAATATTTCATAACGTTCGCCATCTAACCCATAATAATAGTTGGGATGGAGCCCCGGGGAGCGACTAGGTTTCTGAGACGTTATTACGTAAGAGGGTACCGATAACCGGGAGCTATCTATTGGAAAGAGACGAGATCGATTTATAAAATGCCGGTGACGAGTGAAATATCTTGTTGTCCCCAAGGCTATGTCTGTCGACGGGATCTGGCTTCGAGACCACCCTCCGAAGCTATTCTGAATGTGTGTACCGACTGTATAAGGAATGGCCTATAGAAACTACAAACTATACACATAGAAAGGAAGATATCTCGGTTTCCTGTGGCTAGGCAAACAATAACTCTTATAACGTTTTCTTATGGCCGAGTAAATATTAAATATCATAGAATATATTAGTTTTGTCGTATTCCATCTGGATTACTCGCATCTTGAGATTTCGAGTTCGAGACGTAACGTATACAAGATTAAAATAATCTTTTTTTTTTTATTTAATAAAAATTAAAAATAAGAAACCAGAAGTTTATTTGAATGCTTTTATTTCTTCTCTTTTATATAATAAAATAACTTTCAACGTGGTTTTTTATATTACGAATATATTTACAACAGACTGAATGTATTAAAAACATTTGAATTGTTAAAGATAATACTACTAATGATAATTAAATCATACAAAAAACTTGAAAATTTAAGATGATTTATATATACTAACTGTATTATATTCTTACTACAATTTCTACTATACTTTCTTACACTTAAATCATATTGCTAGCATATATGACATATACTAATCATATATACTTTATATTTCAATATCTAATATTGGCATCACACAAAGAACTCCAATATAATACCTGCTTAAACTCTCTTCAATATGTAATTATCTATATTAAGAATCTCGTGATTGTACAAAGGGAACTTAATGTGAATTATTAATAATGACAATAATATATGAACAAAACTGGGTCATAAATAATTGTTTATAACCTATTAACCTTTATGATAAAGCATATCAAACACAAACTCCACTTTTATTCATTATTTTATAACTTCGCTAGATACAGCTTAGATAAAATCTATACAAAATAACAATTTATAACGTATAATTCATTTCATTTTATGAGAAACATTATTTATTAATTACTTTTAATAAATATATTTTCTTCCAAATCCATAAAACTTTTATTATTTACGTAAAACTATTGTTTTGTACACTTTCTACGTTATATAACTGAAACTTAACCGATTTACATTCACTAAAACCGAAATATTCCATAGATTTTAATTGAAAAAACTCGAATCATAAATATTTTATATTATTTTACGTTTGGGATCGTGATATCACGCCACGAAAATAAATTTCTTTGTGCCATCAGTTCTATGTTAGGCTCACACACTAAATTTACATATAAAATAATAAATATTGAAAGCAAAGTTTAAACTAATCTCAATACAGATGTAGAAATATAAACAATTTCTTAAAAAAAATATTTGACTATTTTTTAATACATTTTCCTCCCTCGATTTGCACCCCTCTTTAATGTAAACAGCAGAGGGAGGGGAAAAAAATATATATATTTCTTTTTTATTTTTCTCTCAGAATGCTGACATTTGTAAAGCTATGTGGAGAGAGAGTAGAGAGGGGATGTATTTTTTTCTCCCCTCTTTCTGTTATAATAAATGTTGCGTATCGAAGAAACCACGTGGTTTCCATCCTCCTAGATGCGATATCAAGCGATATGACGATGTTTGAGAAAAGCAAGTAAAAGTCGATTTGGTTCTCGTGACACATTCAATACCAAACGCATCTAGTTGTATACGGAAAGAGGTAGAGATCCCGCAGCAACGATGTAATTTATGTAAAAGAGAAAAGTAAAGAAATACTTACATAGCTCCAACATATAATGCGTCTTTCTTGGTATCGATGTAAAATGTGCGGTAGAAAAGCTTTCCACAGTTGAAATCGTGAACATGTTCTATACAAAAACAAAAGAAAAAAATATGTATTAAAGAAACTATTATCAAATAAATTTTCAATTCATTAAATTCCCCTTCCCCCCCCCCAAAAAAATTCTATAAATATAACATTGTATATATATATATATAAGACCAAAAAGTATCATTAGCAGATGTTACAGAAAATTCTCCTATTATTTACACTCCGTTGAAATTAAATTTAGCGCATAAATCGCTAGAAAGAGAAATTTTTATAATTTCTTTCTCTCAAAAATCAGACTTACAAAAATTGCTATAATAAATTTATTTAACAAAGTTTCCTGCTATATAATTAAATTTTTAGATAAGAACAATGTAATGGGTATTTTTTAAAAAATATCCAGCAATTTATGAAGTAAGTTTAGAAATTTTGATGATATTTCTGTATAAAATAGGATAATTTTAATGTTTTTACAAAGTTTAATGTATAATTTATTTATATCTTTAGCTAGTGGATCAGAAAAAGTGTGAGTTTGATCAGCCTTTTTTTTTTTTAAGAGAGAGAGAGAGGAGGAATATAGTTAATTAACTAGAGTAAAAAAGTACCCACGATCTAATGTGAGAAGAATATCAATTGTTTGGGAAACAGTAGCCAATTTTAGTTTCTATCTACACAATGGAATGGGAAGAAAGACAATTTTATAAGTAACTTCCGTACTAGAGAAAGAATGATAAATGATAGGAAGTAGATGAATTAGAAAATTGGTAGCAATAGATAGAAGGATAGTAGTATATACTTTGTACAATGGACGTACAGAGTCTCCGAGATTGACGCGAGACGATAAAATATTAGAAAAACTTCCAAGCTGAAACAAAAGAAACCATTTCCAGAGCCATTTAACTAGGTTTTTCGAAAGATTTACACCGTTCCAGACAGACATAACAAAACAAAATTACGAGTTAACTCGGTTTCTTATCCGAACTAATCAGGAAAATGGTTAATATAAATTTCTCTAGAAAGGAATTCTTCGCGAAGAAATAGTTATAAACTTATAAAAGTATTTTTTTTTTTGTTTTTAATTTCAAATATTAAAAATGAAAAATTGAATTCTGTTATTTAATTATCGAGTTTGACACTAGAAAATTTCTCCAAATTTCAATTGCTTTAGGTAATATTTCAGAGGAAGACATTTGTAAAAGAATTTTGTCAGAGAAACTATTTTATATCCACAAATCAATAGCTAAAAGGGAAAGCAACGAGTTGGATATACCAATGACTGCGCCAATATTGCCCATTTTGAAGAGCTATCCCATGGGAAAGACTCACTCTGACTCTAATTGGATGATCTCTGTGACTTAGTCAGATAGTCGAATAATCTCATCAAGATGAAATTCGAAGTCATTCAAGATAACGATCAACATTCGTCCCCAATTCCATTGAAAACATTGATACTTTTCCAAATGAAACACGACCATTCGATATCAACTCGAGTTTATCAAACGATTCCCATCGAGGATATAGAACAGATTTCTATTTTATTCATTTGCTAAATTATCGTTTGATCAAATTCAATTACAGGAAACTCGCAAAATAATCGAAACGAATTCAATTATCGTGTAACTTAGTTAAAATTTTCGTTAAAAGTTTAAGAAAATGATTAAAGTCACGAAGCGTGTGACAAAATGGCGAAACGTAGAGCATTAACTACACGCGGGAGTGACCAAAGTTTGCACGAAACTAAAGAGTAACATTAAATCACAATAGCAAAATTTATTAGTCAAATATTCCCCTAGAGACAGTAGCTTCGTTGGCAGGAACTAATGAGGCAGGGACGGTCTGCCTCAGTCAGTTCTATCATTCTTAGAGAGCAGAACAAAGGACGTCAACAAATATCTTCTTTTCCCTTCGGTTGCTCTGCCTGATAAAACTAAGATAGCAGTTTCGTGAGACAATGGAGTCTTTTCACGGGGTTCTAGATATTCGAAGAGCTAGAGAAAAAGGCACACAAAGAAGAAAAATCAAGTTTTTAGTTTGACGACTCGCACGACCCAGCTCTGCAGGAGTGGAGGTTTTGGTATCGATTGGTAACGCATACAGTTCACGTGGTTTCTTTCATCAGGACACAAGTTGCGCGATTTGAACGTAATGGGTGATTAAAGAGGATAAAGTACAAAGCTGGTTCTCTTGCTTCAAATAGATCTGATACTTGACTTTTTTTTTCCCTTCTTTTCTTTTCGCTCTGGAATGAAGAAATTTTCTTTTTTTTATTGGCAGACCACGTCTAATTATCTGGTGCCATTTCGAAGAAAACATCTCGAAATCCTCTTTGGAAAAAAATCGGACGATGAGCACAAGATTCGTGTTTTTCTTTACGATTATAACAGAGATCGGTACGCGGTTTGGTACAAAAAAAAAAAAAAAAAATAGGCCTTCTGCATTTACTTCTTTTAATAGAATTTAAACAACGATCGACTACACTCAGTTTTTACACGGATAGTTTTTATTGCTGTAAATAAAAGACCTCATAAGATATCAACAGGAAGTTATTTTAACGGTCCTTAATTTGGATTATCGTATCTTCCAATCACGTAGAGTTGAAAATTTCGCCTTGTCGTGTCGAATAACTTCTAGTAAATTACAACGATGGCATTTATATATGTCCATGAATCCGAGAAACATGATTCAGTATAAGTGAATTCAGGAACTATCCAAAACAGCAGGAGTACAAACAGACAACTTTAGTGTCCTTTGCTGTTGACATTTAAACAGACAAGAGGTATTGATAATTTGTATAATGCCTGCGAGAGTTGAGATGAGAACAACGACAGCGTGACGTAGCATACCGGAAGGAAAGACGAGTTTGGTACATGATGCATTGTTCTGTAAATTACCTATGAATATTTACAAAGAGCGTCGACGACTGGAATCTTATATCCTTAGTATAGAATGTAATGAAGTAGTAGCATAACAAGGAGAATCACAGAAGCGAACTAAAAGATCGAGAAAATGGAGGTATTGATGAACGGTAACAGTTTAACGTGACAAATGATCCGGCTACTTCCACATCACTTTACAAAAAAGGTTATTTATGAGTAATGTTCAGTGTTAAATCATGTGTATGTCATGATTTCAGTCATCCAAAACCCTTTATAATAGAGAGAAAGCAACGTAATCTTAAATTCAGAACTTTCATTCAAAACTTTGTTCGTTCTTTTACTTTAAAAGTTAAAGTAAATGTAATACGTTTCTATATCAACTGTATCGCGTTACGTTTTAATGCGATGTATCATAAATAAAATATTCTTTACTTATCGTTCGAAAAAAATCTAATTTAACGATTTCGTTGAATAAACTAAGCTTAAAATAGTAGTAAATTTTCATATTTTTTCTTAATATTTTTGCTATCATCCAAAGTTCATTCAAAAGCATAGGAATCATCCGGATCATTTATTATAATTTCTTCATAAATGGCATTTATTAATAATTAGTGTAAATGATCACTTGTATACAATATGCGAAACAGATTTAAATACAGATAAGGAAACTTAACAATGGATTCTAAGCAAACAAAACATGAACAAAAGTGTCAACCATTATTAGATGTTATCGAAGTCAATCACTTTGAATCTATCTAAAACACGTTGCAATGCCCATTATCTATCAACAGGTTAACAAATAATCGGTAATTCAATTATAATTCTATGTCATAGACTTTGTTGCTAGATCATAAACTTTTCATTGGGTTATTCCATTAATCCTTAACATGTAAAACAATTTATTTCGTATGAAATTTACTATTCCCAAGAGTAGCAGTTAAAGTTTAATACCGAAAGATGATAAACTTCGATATCAACGACTTTTATTAACGTTTATATTACATATTTACTTTATACGAGAGAGAAAATGATGACTCTATAAAGAAGGAAAAGATTCAATCGTAACAACGTTAAAGCTCGCACATATTTTGCTAAAGTAGTCATATTAAATATCACACTTTAGTTGCTTTATTAGACTTTTCTTCCTCATCTTTAAATTGTGAAATAAAAATAAGTGGCACGCTTAAATGATTGTCATAAACTTGGCTTAGATTACATTACAGTCTCATCTTCATAAATGATGAATAATTGGTCCTTTCTTCATAAATGTTAGCGCGTTTCTAAAGAGGATTGAAATCCATGTTGAGAACGAAATACGCCATTAGCTTCTTTGCAAGTTAAAACTGAGACATTTGAGAAATTTTGATTATTTCCCATTAAGTTTTAACTTATTTCAACTGAAATAAAAGATTTTCACGATAATAAAAATAACAGTTTCTTTTGTTAAATGCTTTCCTTGAATTAAATGCAAAATACATTTAATTATATCCAAAGCATTATAGAGGAAAATGTTACAGGAAAAGTTATTCACTTGAGAAAGAAAATACAATGCAGTTTTCATAAAAATTTATTATACAAAATATAAATTATTTAATTCAAAATTAACAAAAATTATTAAACTATATAAATATCCATTATATATAGCCTATATACACGTGATTACATTCAATCGATCACACAGTCATAACTCCGCCCAATCGCCGTTAAGACAATCATAACTCCGACCAATCGCCGTTAAGACAATCATAACTCCAACCAATCAACATATAAAAATTTCTTGTAGATATTTTAAATTTTTTTATCATATCAACTTATATGTAAACTTTATTTTTTTCTACTTTTGCTTAGTTTATTGCTATTCGATTCGTCCTCAAGATTTTATATAAGTAAAATATTTATCATATTTTAAATTTTTTCAAAAACAGTTCAACGATATTGAAAAGTTTCCTCTAATACTAAATTTGTTTTTAATTCATTTCTAATTAGCTAAAAAAAAGAAAAAAAAACCAAAATAAAATATCACAAATATCGTTTGATCTTACAGATGTTATGCATTTTGAAAACACATTTTATAACTAAATTTTTTATATACAAAATTTTAAATTTATAAATTTAGGTAGAAAATAATTTAATATTAGAATATATTTTAAAATACTGTAGTTTA